ATATATATATATATATATATAAAAGTTGGATAAAGTTTTACTTTTCAAGAGACATAGCTTGTGAAAGTAAGTTTTCTTAACTGATGAGCATTTGATGCAAATTGTGTCGCTTGCAGTTATTTGCACTGCCTAAAATGCTTGCATCAAGTGAGTATGACATTAAGTGATTGGATCTCATTTCCAGAGTGCTTCATCCCACTTCCATCCATCACTGTACCATCACTTAAGCAGGCAAACCACCTTATCCATAACTGTAAAACATCCGCTCAGCTGAAAGGTGTGAAAAGCCCAGCTGCTACCTGGAACCTTTCTCTCTCTTTTCCCACAACCTCTTACCCACCTCTAAGGATCCTGCGGAGAGGCTGGTGTTGGCATTGGAGCTCCCCAGATTGCGTGGCAGGGTTCGGGTTCTCTCCACTGTACTTCCCCCTGTCAGAATCTGTCTGACCGATGGCCTCTGGCCTGGCTTTAGGTGGAGTGAATGTCCGTGGGAATGCATGTGTCCTCCATGGGAGTGCATATGACTCCCCGGAGCCATCAAGTGTCCATGTCCGTGGGGGATGGTTTTGATAGTCCCATAGGAGCGGTTTAGGTTCATGGTGATGTTCATGTCCCCCACGCTGGACGGCACAAAATCCGCAGGATAGGCCTCGCTCTCTGCTGGGTGGAGGGTCAGAGGAGAGGGGGGCGGGGGAAAAGGAGGGTCCTCCACTGCGATGTTGAGAGGCTTGTCCTCGCCACCCAGTCCCAGGCCTCCTCTTTGTGAGGAGGGCAAAGGAGGTTTGAGACTGACCGTCCTACGAGGCAAGACCATGTAATCTCCCTCTCCACCGCCGCCACTCCCTCCTCCACCGCCGCTTCCGCTTCCACTTCCACTTCCCCCACTTCCTGCACTGCCATCCTGGGAGTTGTTGGAGGAAGTTGGTGGTCGAGCCCAGCCCAGGCCGCTCTCAGTGCACAGGTAGATTGGAGCTGTGCTGCGTTGTTGACTGGGCTGCCTCTGCTGATCCAAGTTCACCTCCTTCTTCAGGGGGGACTCGTTGAGCTCATTAAGACCTCCTAAAGTTGGAACCTTGTGGAAAAAGAAAGAAAAAAAAAACATTTAAACCTTTTTGGTTGAAATATTTCCTTTGTTTCATTCTTGTGTCCACATAGGGACCATATGGAGCCCGCCAGCAGCCAGTGGGGAAAAAAACCCGCCAGAAATCCATGCACACGGATTKCTAAACTATGCTCTCAGTTTCTGCAATCCGTGTGCATATATTGCTTAGATCTGTCGACAGGTTGGACGCACGCTATGAAGCTGCATCTGCAAAGTAAATTCACTGGATCTGTTGTCATATATAAACTTAAGGCACTGTCGTGTTCTCATCAGCACATTTTTAGTCACAGAATTTCCCTGAAAGTTTCATTAAAATCCGAGATGGTTATTACTGTATTTATTTTCATATTTTCCAGGCAAATGATTCCTGAAACCCTCCCGTCCCCACTGTTGTTTTCTAGGAAAGAGAATAAACATTCGAGAACCGCTGGAGAAGACCTCCGAGCGGCTTGCAGCAGAGAAAGGTCCCCGTGTGGCGAGCTTCATCTGCAGAATGACAATCAGATGGGAGCTGCGGCCCCGCTCTTACTCTGAAATGTTTCAAACTTTATTCAACTGTTCTCTGTGGTGTAATATACGGAGCGAGGGGACGGGAGATTTTTTCTTCTTTTGCGTTCCCACGCAATAGTATTGCATAACCTCGCAATACATTTTGCGTTCCCTCGCAAAAGTAGTTTATCACTGTTGTGCCTGCCGGTTTATTAGCAAACTCACATGTTCACCATTAGCAAGTCAGTCTACTGCTTTAATTCAGCTTCAGAATGAATATATCACACAGCCACGCATGGAAGTATGTCATATGCTGATATTTTAACACGGTACACCCACGCAACATCAATGCCAATTTCACGAATTTGTGGCGACACATCCTGTTTTGGTAACCGGATATTTCAAAGTAAAAGTCTGATTTAATTCAGTGCATATACAAAACAATCTTTTGCGTGGGAACGCAAAACAATATTGCGTGGGAACGCAAAAGTATTGCGAGGGAATGCAAAAGTATTGTGAGGGAATGCAAACTTATTGCATGGGAACACAAATGAAAAAAAATCCCCCCATGTCCCCTCGCGGGCTCCGTAGTAATAAACGTTTTTGAAAGAGTAATAAACATTTCCTAAAAGTTCAACATAAATCCATTCAGTACTTTTGTGATATAACCCTGAGAAGGCAGCTGGCTAACTTAAGCGAAACTTCCCCGTTGTCAGGGAAACTGTAAACATCCGGTCACCATGTGCAGAAAGGCTCCAGTAGGCTTCCTGTGATGATCCGATCAGAGCTGAAACAGCCTTTAGGAGACCTGGTACCAAAACAGCCTGATAGGCGGGCAAAAACTTTACAACATACTCAAAGTCCAACATTGTCTATGCAGTACTTTGACTTTAGTGAAAAAAAGGCTCCTTAAGAACTTTCTGAGCTGATGAACAAACTTCAGCTCCCACAACCACCGGAGCTTCTCCAAATGTCAGTAATCAGTGCGCACAGATTGCCAAAATTGAGAGAACAGATTAGTAATACGTGCGCACGGATTACTATTCTGTGTGCACGGATTACTAAACTGTGTGCACGGACTTTCAGCAGCTGTTTATTTTTCCTCCCACTGACCCCTGGTTGGACCATGCTATTTTGGAGTCCTAAAAGTATTTTTAAAAATGTGGATGCTCCACACATTGGGCCTCATTCAAGAACCGTTCATACGCACAGATTTGTTCTTAAATTGTGCGTACGAGTGATTTAGGAGAATTTGTGGCATTCACCAATGTTTTCATATTCCAAGATTTTTTTTCAGATACAAACAAAATTCACGAGTGGTCCAGACCTGTCGTATATTTTACGAGCAGTCAGTCTGCTGTTATCCAGACGGGTTTTC